GACGGCGCAGGTGCCGGCTTAGGTCCTGGTGGACAATTGGAGGCAGGATCCGGAGAGAATAATAAAAGATGTGTCGTTGTCAGCTTGGACCCAGTGATAGAGGCTCAGAAGAGAGCCTGGCGGAGGATCTCTCGCGCGTAGAGCGGTGGTGGTTGTGTTTTCGTCCTGGAGAGCCCAGGGACGGCTCCTGGAACGCCGATAGTGCCCGCTGGGCCGTCGAGGGACTGGGAATATCTTAAGGGTGGGTGACCTACGGCCGTGACTGTGAGTGTAGGAGTGCGTCGTTCCCTCGTTTCCGCCGGGAAATGGGGGAGGGGTCCCCTCTTCCTATGGTCTCTCCAGCAACCGCAGAGCTTAGTCTCTGACGTCGGTTTCCCTGGCGACCGCGGCAGCGGCGGTGGAAGCGCGTGGTGGGGCCGCGCATGTCAGCGCGCATGTGCAGCGGGGGTGGCGCCGCCCACAGATAAAATTAGCCCAGAGGCCTAAATATAGGAGAGGGCTGGCTCACCCCCTGCTCCGTGGCGTTAGAGCCCTATAGTCTGAGTGCCTGATGGGAACTTGCGGCTGAAAAGTGTCCAGTCTTTGGCCCGTAACTACATAACTGTTGACCATCTGGTGGACTGCTTTGGCTCTGCTTACCCAGGCCACACTGGCAGGAGATGAAGAGGGCCCAAAGGGGAAACCCCTCCCCAACAAGAGCAAGAAATAGGCCCTTCCTCAGGCTGCCTACGCAAGCCATAGGACCCAGGAGCAAGAGTACAAGCAAGGGGTATGAATGAAGCCAGCAGGTGCTATGAGTTTAACAGTCTCATTTTCTCCAAATCTTCTTCCCTGGTTTTCCTTTCCAGGTACTGATTGTGATCCAGCTGCTCAAGTCTTAAAACTGAAGTTTCCCACCTTGCTCCCTTAGCTAGGCCTCCTGGCCCTCTTGTACATCCGTGGTGGCCTCCCCACCTTCACTGTTCACTTGTCCTCCTCATGGCCCAGACATGAGTGGCCCCCTCGAAGGGGCTGATGGGGGTGGGGATTCCAGGCTTGGGGATGCTTTTTGTCCTGGAGGGTCCCCATCCCCGGGGCCGCCACAACATAGGCCTTGCCCAGGCCCCAGCTTGGCCGATGACATGGATGCCAACAGCAGTGGCTCAAGCGGCAATGAGTCCAACGGTCCTGAGTCCAGGGGTGCGTCTCAGCGGAGCTCACATAGCTCCTCCTCCGGCAATGGCAAGGACTCCGCCCTGCTTGAGACTACTGAGAGCAGCAAGAGGTCTGTGTGGGTGTATGGTACCAGGTTTTGTGTGTGGAAGTGGTTTCGTGAATAGGCTGAGCTTAGATACATGCCCTGTGTTGCTGTTTTCTTTCCTCTTGTTTGAACTTGTTGCTTCTTCCCTAGCACAAACTCCCAGAGTCCATCCCCACCCAGCAGTTCTATTGCCTACAGTCTCCTGAGTGCCAGCTCAGAGCAGGACAACCCCTCAACCAGTGGCTGCAGGTGTGTAGGGTGAAGGCAGAGTGGGCTGGGGTTCATGGCCGGGATTTGGGCCTAATGCCTCTCCCTCCTCCTTCCCCGTGGGCCCTGCAGCAGTGAACAGTCAGCCAGGGCAAGAACCCAGAAGGAACTCATGACAGCATTACGGGAGCTCAAGCTTCGACTGCCTCCAGAGCGCCGGGGCAAGGGCCGTTCTGGGACCCTGGCCACACTCCAGTATGCACTAGCCTGTGTCAAGCAAGTGCAAGGTGAGTGACACTTCTTCCCATGAGGCAGCAGTGGGAGTGTCCTCTCATTCCCTGACACCCCCACCCCTTACTCTGTAGCCAACCAGGAGTACTACCAGCAGTGGAGCCTGGAGGAAGGGGAGCCCTGTGCCATGGATATGTCCACCTATACTCTGGAGGAGCTGGAGCACATCACATCTGAGTATACACTTCGCAACCAGGTCAGCACTGGCCTCACCTCTTCATCATCATGCTCCTCCATTACCACTCCCGCTGTTTCCCAACCTGTTGTTGCTCTTACCTTCTTGCCCAGGATACCTTCTCCGTGGCTGTCTCCTTCCTGACTGGCCGCATTGTCTACATATCAGAGCAGGCGGGTATCCTGCTACGTTGCAAGCAGGATGTGTTCCGGGGTGCCCGATTCTCAGAACTCCTGGCACCCCAGGATGTGGGTGTCTTCTATGGTTCCACTGCCCCATCTCGCCTGCCCACATGGGGCACTGGGGCCTCAGCAGGTGAGGTGCCCAGGGGCTTGTGGGGAGGGATGAGCGGTCTCTTAGGAAGCTGCTATGAGAAGCTAGGAGCCCAAACTTTCGTTTGGTGGATTCCTGACAGCTGAGGAGGAGGCAGTAAGTGGCTGTGCTTACAGTGGTCTTGCTCTGTCCCAGGTGCAGGTCTCAAGGAGAAGTCTGTCTTTTGCCGAATCAGGTAAGTGGAAGGGGGGGAAGCCAGTCCTGCTCTTCTTGCACTCTCTTCCCATTCTTTGCATCTTTTGTGTCAGCTTTAACCTTGGCTTGGAGAGATGGTGACTTGAAAGTCCCAAATCCCTCTTTCTTCCTTGCTAGTAGAGGTCCTGACCGGGAGCCAGGGCCTCGGTACCAGCCATTCCGCCTAACTCCATATGTGACCAAGATTCGGGTCTCTGATGGGGCCCCTGCACAGCCATGCTGCCTGCTCATCGCGGAGCGCATCCATTCTGGTTATGAAGGTACAGGGCTTGGGTCCTGGCCTGAGAGACTGTGGGGAGGATGCCTCCTCTAGTAGATGGGTGAAGGAAAAGATAGGCCTGGAAAGCATGCCTAAGTTACTTGGAATTTTGGGATAGAAGCTACTGCATTTCAGAGGCTTTGAGCCCCCTAGTGATAAAGAGCTGCATGAGATTAGTAAACCAGGAGAAGGCAGAAAAGAACATTTTAGTTTTTTAATCTATTACTGTTACGAAGCAAAGGGATGGGCCAGACTATTTATTTTTATTAATTTTAATGAAAGTTTGCAGAGACTTAGGGTTTCCATTCATTCATTGTTGCACTTTTCTCCCTGCTCCCGTGCCCCCCAAATTCTCTCTTCTCTTTGAAAAGTAAAAGAAAAATTCTTTCATTGTTACACAATTCCTCCTCCTTAAGTCTGCTCATCTATGCAGCCTTCATTCTGGACTCCTGTCATGACAATAAAAACTAATTATATATCCCTTTTAAACAGTTCTCTCCCTCAGCTGTTTCAATGCAGTATACAATATTTATTCCCTCTTTCTCAGTCTCTCCTCAACCCCGATGTTAGTCCCGTTTTACAACAGTGGCCCTATGCAATATTTGTCCTTTTGTGACTAAGATATTTCACTCAGCATAATGTCCTCTAGGATCATCCATTTTGCATAATATTTCATGAGTTCCTTGGTTTTTCAGTGCTGAATAGTATTCCATTGTGTGAATATCCAGAGCTTCACTATCCATTTGTTTGTTGATGGACACTTGGGTCATTTCCAACTCTTTGCTATTGTGAACAAAGCTGTAATAAACATGGGTGTGCATATATCTGGTTGGGTGGCAGTTATGGTTTCTTTAGAGTATAATCCCAGTAGTGGAATTGCTGGGTCAAATGGTATTTCTTTTTTGACTCTTTTTTTATTTTTAATTCATTTTAATGAAAGTTAACAGAGACTTAGGGTTTCCAGTCATTCATTGTTGCACTTTTCTCCCTGCTCCCCCCCATTCACTTTTCTCCTTGATAAGTAAAAGAAAGACTCTTTCATTGCTATGCAGTCCCTCCCTCCAAGTCCATGGCACTGTGCAGCCTTCATTCTGGACTCCTGACATAACAATAATTCCTAATCATATATCCCTTTTAAACAGTTCTCTCCCTCATCTGTTGCAGTGCAGTATACATCATTCTTCCCCTTCTTCTCTCTTCCCTCAACCCCAGTGTCAGTCCTGTTTTACAGTAGTGGCCCTATGCAATATTTGTCCTTTTGTGACTGAGATATTTCACTCAGCATAATGTCCTCCAGGGTCACCCATTTTGTATACTATTTCATGAGTTCCTTGTTTTTGAATGCAGCATAGTATTTCATTGTGTGAATATACCTGAGCTTCTCTATCCATTTGTTTGTTGATGGGCACTTGGGTTGTTTCTAGCTCTTTGCTATTGCGAACAAAGCCGCAATAAACATGAGTGTGCATATAAATGGTGTTTCTATTTGCAACTATTTGAGGAAGTGCCATACAGCCTTACATAGTGGTAGCACCAGGGCCAGACTATTTTTGTAAGCCATGGGTCCTGGGAGGATTGTTAGCCAGCCTTGGTGTCCCAGACAAGAATGGAGGGTTAACATGCTTGATTAAAACTAATGATTGACCATGTCTTCTGTCCCTTAGCTCCTCGGATCCCTCCTGACAAAAGAATTTTCACCACACAGCACACACCCAGCTGCCTCTTCCAGGATGTGGATGAGAGGTGAGGTCAAGACGTGAAGGAAAGGGTGCTGGTCAGTGCTGAGGCCGTGACTGTTCTAATACCTCTTTTCATTACAGGGCTGCCCCATTGCTGGGCTACCTACCTCAAGACCTCCTAGGGGCTCCTGTGCTCTTATTCTTACATCCTGAGGACCGACCCCTCATGCTGGCTATCCACAAGAAGAGTAAGCACTTGACTCACTTTGCCTCTCCTTTCCAGCCTGTCTCTGGGATTTCTGCCCTCATGCTGGTGTTCCAGTTCTTTGATCTCTTGGGGCTCCAGTGGAGGGCTTCCACCTTACTCCATTCTCCCTCCCACTGACCCTCAGTCTCATTTCTCTCTCTTTTCAGTCCTCCAGCTGGCTGGCCAGCCCTTTGACCACTCCCCTATCCGCTTCTGTGCCCGTAATGGGGAGTATGTCACCATGGACACCAGCTGGGCTGGCTTCGTGCACCCCTGGAGCCGGAAGGTGGCCTTTGTGTTGGGTCGCCACAAAGTTCGCACGTAAGTGGGCCATGCCCCAAGACCTGGCCAGAGGGGGTGGGACAGTGCAGGAAGGGGAGGCCTAGGGACAGGGCTCAACTCACCCTTCCCCGCTGTACAGAGCCCCCCTGAATGAGGATGTGTTCACTCCCCCGGCCCCCAGCCCAACCGTGTCCCTGGACTCTGATATTCAGGAACTATCAGAGCAAATCCACCGGCTGCTGCTACAGGTGAGAGTTAAATAGCACGTGCAAGTAGGGAAGTTAGGGTGGGGAGTAGGGCATAGACCTCTAACTGTCCCTCTTCCTGCCTTAGCCTGTGCATAGCCCCAGCTCCTCGGGACTCTGTGGAGTCGGTCCTGTGACATCTCCTGGCCCTCTGCTCAGCCCTGGCTCCTCCAGTGAGAGCAACGGGGGTGATGCTGAGGGGCCCAGACCACCTACCCAGGTGAGTGACTTCTCTCCATTCACCCTGCTAGTCCCCCAGTTCTCCAGTCTTCAAGTCAGCATTGGCAGGCCCATAGGAGCTTTGCCCAGTCCCCAGTTTTTTGTTTCTCTCACCTCTTCCTGTTTCCTTGCCAGTTCCTCCTTGTTACTGTTTCTTTGGCCCTAATATTGGCCATACCGCCCAATGCCGGCCTTTTTGCCCTGTGTCCCATAGGTGACCTTCCAGCAGATCTGTAAGGATGTGCATCTAGTGAAGCACCAGGGGCAACAGCTTTTTATTGAGTCTCGGACCCGGCCCCCGCCCCAGTCCCACCTTCCCGGTGAGTTGGCTAGGCTGTAGCAGGGGTAAATGGTGACAACTGGGGGGCTCCCAATTCTCGTGCCAACCTGTTCCTCTTCCCTTTCTCTGCCCCAGCTGCAGGTACATTCAAGACCAAGGCCCTTCCCTGCCAGTCCCCAGACCCAGAGTTGGAAGCGGCATGTGTCCCTGTCCCTGTGCCAGTAGCCTCGGCCCCTGAGGAGACTGAGAGGAAAGAAGCCTCTCTCTGCTCCTATCAGCAGATCAATTGCCTTGACAGCATCCTCAGGTAAGGCCAGTCTAGCACCTCTCCCAATTGCACCATGCGTTGGCTGTGCTCCCCACAGGCCCTGCTCTCATGCCAGCCTGGTGTAACTCCAGGTACCTGGAGAGCTGCAACATCCCCAGCACAGCCAAGCGCAAGTGTGCCTCCTCCTCTTCCTGCACCATGTCCTCTGCCTCCGATGACGACAAGCAGAGGATAGGTCCCCTCACTACTGGGGCCAAGAAAGGTAACGCCCAGAGCATGCCCTCCTCCCACCCCCATGCTGGTCTAGTGGCTTGTGTCTCTCTCATCTTCTGTTTTTGGGCTCTCCACCATGCTCTACCTTGTTCTCCTCCCCGCCCCATCACTATCCTGTTCCCTTGTCAGCCCTACTCCTCATCCCCAGAATCCGCCTTCCATTGCGGGTGGAGGTGGTAACTGCCATCTCTCTGCACAGATCCGTCGGCAGTGCTGTCTGGGGAGGGGGCCACCCCTCAGAAGGAACCTGTGGTGGGAGGCACCCTGAGCCCGCTTGCCCTGGCCAATAAGGCAGAGAGTGTGGTGTCCATCACCAGTCAGTGTAGCTTCAGCTCCACCATCGTCCATGTGGGAGACAAGAAGCCCCCGGAGTCGGGTATGGGCCTGGAGGACATCACTCCATTGGTCCCTCCAGGGAAAGTTCCCTCCCACCTGCCTTTCTGTCCCTTCCAGCCACTGATGGAGAGAAGCTCTCCCTTTCTGCTGGGTCTACGCTTCTTGCTTTCCTTTTCTGCCTCTGGTGTTTTACCCTTCCCTCATTCTTCCTGTCTTGTACCTGTCAGTTTAAACAGAAAGTCTGTGGTGGGAGGTTTAATTGTAACCTGTTGAGCACAGAGGTTTTGAAGGAATGTTGACTGCCCCTGCTGGGCTTGAGGGAAGGGCAAGAATGGGCTTCCCTTGCAGTTGGAGGAGAGTGAGGTGTCAGCCTGGGGCTTTTCTGGCAGCTACTGCATGAGACTGATGTCCTCTCCTACTGGTCAGATCTGCATGTGGAAGAGAGGGCCCAGGGCAAGGAAGGAACCAGGAGCAGCTCAGGGCTGGGCTTGGCTAGATTATTGGAGAGAGAGCAAATGGTATGAATGCATTAACTTCTGAACTGACCTTTTCCTTGTCTCTCCTTTCTCAGACATTATCTTGATGGAGGATGTACCTAGCCTGGTCCCTGGTCCAGCCCCAAGCCCTGCTCCCAGCTCCACAGTAGCCCCTGACCCAGCCCCAGATGCCTACCGCCCAGTGGGCCTGACCAAGGCTGTATTGTCCCTGCACACCCAGAAGGAGGAGCAGGCCTTCCTCAACCGCTTCCGGGACCTGGGCAGGCTGCGTGTGCTCGATGGCTCTTCCATGGCACCATCGGCCCCTGGTGATCGAGGTAGCCACCCAGGGCCTCCCTAAATCTGCCTTCTTTCCAGCCTAGAACCAGACTGTTGGGGGTCTGGGCTCCTGAAAGAGAAGTTTGCCCATTTAAGACTCAGTTGCTGCTGCTCAGGAGATCATCATAGATTTTGGGCCACAGACGTGCAAAGAGGACTGAGGCAGTTCCCAGTGGGCTCATGGGTGGGTGGAAGGCCCTCTGTGGGAGGTTACAAGACTGGGCTCTACTTCTGCCCTGCATCCTGCCCATTTCTTCACTCCATCAAGAGCTAGGCAGAACATGACCTCGACAGGCAAGAATTAGCACCCAAGCGGGCAGTGCCAGCTCAACTGTGGTGGATGAACTGGACCCCTGTCCCTGCCACCTTCTGCCCATGTGCCTGTTTTCTGCACACCCTTCTGACCCCTCTGTAACTGTGCCTTTATCATCCTTTCTCAATAAACCCCCCTGTTCCTGCCTTCTGTGATTCTTCCCTGAATGTTCCCCACCTCTTTGAGTTCTCTCCAGCATGGAGACCAAATCGTTTGGGGCTTTTGTCTGCCCTTTTCCCCTGGTTAGTGTCAGAGTAGTAGGATGCCAGGGGTACTAATCCGCAGATGAGGTTCCTCATTAATCCTAGTCTTTCCCAGCAGGTTGCCACCACGGCCCTGTAACCCCCAGCCACCGACACCACTGCCGATCCAAAGCCAAGCGCTCGCGCCACCACCAAGCCCCCCGGCACGGAGCGCCCTGCTATGTCTCCCACCCCTCACCTCCACCTTCCTCTACCCCTTGGCCACCTCCACCATCTACTGCCCCTTTCCCAGCTGTGGTCCAGCCCTACCCTCTCTCAGTATTCTCCCCACGAGGAGGCTCACAGCCTCTCCCCTCTGCCTCCAACTCTGTGTCCACTACAGCTTTCCCTGCCCCCCTAGTGACTCCAGTGGTGGCCTTGGTGCTCCCTAACTATCTGTTCCCTGCCCCCACTAGCTATCCTTATGGATTACCACAGGCCCCTGCTGAGGGACCTCCCACTCCAGCCTCTGGCTCTCCTTCTCCATCCCTGCCCCCACTGCCCCCTACCCCTCCCCACCGTCCAGACTCTCCACTATTCAACTCCCGATGCAGCTCCCCACTCCAGCTCAATTTGCTGCAGCTTGAAGAGCCCCCTCGTGCTGAGGTGGATGTTGCTGCAGGGGGTCCTGGAAGCAGTGCTGGGGCCCCTGCCCCCAGTGAGGAGGTTTTGGAGCCAGAGGCCAGATTGGTGAGCACTGTCCCCCATAGCACACCCCCTACCAGCCTAGGGCCACTCTTGCCACTCAGCCCCCTGCCTTTCCCCTGCTCGGTAGGTGTGCCTGGCTGCTATCTTAATCTCCAGGAGAAGTGCTGCAGGCTGGGAGACCTGGCGTGTCACTGGCTAGAAATCAGTGGCCTTATCTGTGAAGTGGGGATAGCCTTGTCTCACAGGAGTCAGGGCAGGGACATTCCAGTAATTTCTCAGGGCCCATCTGCCATTTGGGAAGGGTTTAATGTCATACTTCATGCATCCACAGCTGCTCTTGTAGTGTAGCTGACTTGGGAACCAGTTGATTTGAGTGCCTTCATCTTCAGTGGAAGCAACCTGGGGTTTGAGCCCTTGACCCCTCTGTCACTCCTCCCCAGGCAGAGGTGACTGAGTCCTCCAATCAGGACGCGCTGTCAGGCTCCAGTGACCTGCTGGAATTGCTGCTGCAGGAGGACTCACGCTCTGGCACAGGCTCGGCCGCCTCAGGCTCATTGGGCTCTGGCCTGGGCTCTGGGTCTGGCTCGGGCTCCCATGAGATGGGCAGCACCTCAGCCAGCATCACTCGTGAGTGCCAACTCAGGGCAGGCCAGGGAAAGGGGGGAGGCCAGGCCCCATCTTGGTTGAGCAGTCTGGGCAAATGCCTTATTTTTCCAAGGCCCGTGGGGTGCGGCATGTGCCTTTTGAGGGGAAGGCCTGAGGCTCTGGGGTGGGGTGGGGACTGCAGCCTTCCTGACTGTGCTACCTCCTCCTTCACAGGTAGTAGTCAGAGTAGCCACACAAGCAAGTACTTTGGCAGCATCGACTCTTCTGAGGCTGAGGCAGGTTCAGGCCAGGCCAGGACGGAGCCTGGGGAGCAGGTCATCAAGTATGTGCTCCAGGATCCCATCTGGCTGCTCATGGCCAATGCTGACCAGCGTGTCATGATGACCTATCAGGTGCCCTCTAGGTGAGAAGTCTCAGAGGTGGCTCTCTTGCCCTGTCAGAGGTAGTAGGGAAACCAGTCTACTCTTAACTCCCCAGGTGAACTTTGGGTTTTCTTTGCTAGAGATGGCCCAGCCGTAGGATGCCTGTCTTACTCCTTGTCTCTTAAAGCTCCATCATTCATTCATCCTAGGCTGAGAGCAGTTTTCCTGTCTTTGATCCCTGAAGTGTAGGAGTACTGGTTCAGGATGAAATGGGAGAAATAGTGGGTGGGGAGTGTGGTAAATAGAGAAAGCCAGTCTTACGGATCCTGGCCTGGTTCTGGCCTTGGCTTCAAGCCTCTGCCTTCTCCACCTCTCTCCTGGGCAGGGACATGGCTTCTGTGCTGAAGCAGGACCGAGAGCGGCTCCGAGCCATGCAGAAGCAGCAGCCTCGGTTCTCAGAGGACCAGCAGAGGGAACTGGGTGCTGTGCACTCCTGGGTCCGCAAGGGCCAGCTGCCTCGGGCCCTTGATGTGATGGTGAGAGGCAAAGTCAGGGCTGGAAAGGAGGGGGAAAAAACTGAACACAATTGAAGGCTGATCTATGCAGTGTCCTTGTACCATTCATTCTGAAAGATGCTAAATTCCACTGAGCTTGCTGCTTTGATGTATAAAGCACATGAGTCTTTGCAGAACTCCTGTTCTCATTGGGATTATTTTCACAGTGCTTTGGAGTACAGGATACCAAACATTTTCTAACCTGCTAGATCCTAGGATCATCTTGTTGAGTTGCATCTGTGTGGACTCATGTTTCTTAGGAGTCTGTTTTGGGAAGCTTTTGGGACTGTTGGATCAGTGGTGACTCTGCCTGACCATTGTCCCCTTTCTCCTTCCATAAGGCTTGTGTGGACTGTGGTAGCAGCACCCAGGACCCTGGCCATTCTGATGACACCCTCTTCTCGGAGCTGGATGTACTAGGACTGGAGCCCATGGAAGAGGGTGGGGGTGGGGAGGGGGGTGGTGTCGGGGGTGAAGAGGGGATTGGAGGTGAGGCTGGGGCCCATGTTGGGGCTAGCGTTGTAAGCTCTCAGGACTTGACCATGGAGGAGGAAGAACAAGGTGGGAGCTCATTCAATCCAGCCTTACCTACAGCAGAAACCGGTACCAGCTAGACTCCATTTTGGGGCCACTTGAGGAGTCCATGGGAGAAGCTTTCTTCTTCCATGTTCCAACTCTGAGAACTCATATGTGGCCAAACCCACCAATCAGAAACTGCCCCAGTTTTGCCCACTGTAGGGGGCAGGACCCCCATCACCAGCCCAGGATCCAGGGACTGCCACCTGGCCCTTGGGAACAGAGAGGGGAGAAGTTGGCCCAGCCCAAAGGAGCCTTCTTTACCTCCACTTGGCGAGGAGGCCTTCCAGCCCTCGAACAGGGTTGCTGACGAGCTGCCAGAGTGGTCTTTCCAAATCTCAGCTGAGCCCAAGTCCCAGTCCCTGAGGGTTGGGGTTACACTTATTTATTGGGGAAGACAACCCTCTTTTCCACCTTCTCAGCCAGAGGGAAGAAGGGAGTGGGAGAGGGCCTGAGGCCCAGGCAGGACCAAGGGGTTCTGGACCCCTAGCTGCTCCAGGGGGTAAGTTGGTGGACTATGGAGTCCCTGGTGCTGCCCCTCAGATGGGATCCAGGTGTTCGCAGCTGTACCCTCTACCGATGGTTATCTGTGTTTTTGATATTGTGTCTTATTTTTTTAATACAAAAAAGAACAACAACAAAGACTCTGTGGAATGAAGTTTTGGGGTTGCATGAAGGAACTGCTCAGAGGTGGGGGGCGGGGTCGGCCCAGGAGGTTATGAGGGGGGCAGTTCAGTTCACCGAACGGCCCCTTAACGCTTCTCCCCATACCCTTCCTAGCGGAAGAGCCTTGCTGAAGCGGCAGTTAACCCGGGCACTATTCTGACTTCTCAATCCCAAAGCCTGGCTTGCTCTTTGAAGGAAGGATGCGGAGCAGCTTGTAGCCGGCCGGAGGCTTCTGCAAGCTCTGGTTGAGTCGAGCAGCCAGCGGGCAAGGGTGGTGCACAAGCGGGGTGAGGCCGCGGACGGAGGGGGAGATTTTATCAGATAAATCTTTGTGTCTAAGGAACGAGGAGTCACACATTCAAGAGCATGTTTGCCCCTAAAACACAACCACTATAGAACATTCCCATTTAAATAATTTACATTTTCAAACGCCCATTAATAGCTGATCTATCCCTAGATGCGCCCCACCTCTTACCGGCGCCGTGGCTTAGCTGGTTAAAGCGCCTGTCTAGTAAACAGGAGATCCTGGGTTCAAATCCCAGCGGTGCCTGGGTGCATTTAGAATAATATATTATTGCTACTGTGAAAATCCATTTCTCCTTCTGAAGGTCCTTTCTGTAGTATCCTTAAAAAGATTCTTCTTACCAAATGTGTCCTTTGGCCCTCATTACCGTGCACTTTTGAAGCAATACACCCCAGATCCCCGTTAGCTTTCATGAGTTGTGGTGAAATGGACTTCCATTCGTCTACCCCCAAGAATATGGGATCCTGGGTTCGCATTTGAGCTCATTTTGTTGGAGCTCTTACTATGACTCCGGCCAGAATATTTAAATTCAATACCACGGCAGGGGATACCGGAACCGCACTGTATGTGCTGCAAAATCGAAGCGCATGCGCACAAGAACCTTTTGGCTACAAAGGCGGGGACGGCGAGAGGCGGGCGCGTTGATAGGCAGCTATAGTTGCGCAGGGCCTAGGCAGCACGCGGCTGTGATGGCCGAGTGGTTAAGGCGTTGGACTCGAAATCCAATGGGGTCTCCCCGCGCAGGTTCGAATCCTGCTCACAGCGTCAGTATATTTTGAGAATGAGTGTTAACTTCTTTGCGGGGGTAGGGTGAGGGAAGTCACTTTTTCTAATCTCTCTCCTCTAGGAGGACTCCGTCCTCATTTTAAAGCTTTCCGGGACGTAAATATTCTCGGCCGTTCGGGACCGACCTGCGAGCGCCCTCTTGCGGGTTTCAGGTCCTTACCACTCTCTTCCTCAAAGTGTACGCCCTGGAAGCTTTTGCTATCTCTTTCAGATGATCCTTTCGTGCTATTAGGCAATCGTTACCTTTCCTTGATTCTTCACACTCCTATATTTTTTGCTTATGGAGAAAATAAAACACCCTAAAGAGTTCGCAACCACATTTTCTTCCTTTTCCTCAGTACTATAAATGAATCCTTCCGCATAAGATCGGTTACCACACTTAATTGATTTCCCACCCCCTCTGCCCCACTCAAGAACGTTATTTTTCCTATGCCATTGTTTTATCCCCTCTACTAGATTATTGTTTCCTTTGTCTACAAACCAGACAACAAAAGCTACCTTGGCTTCATATTTCTCTCTCCAGCTACTTTTCCATTACTCTGCTTCCCTCTACCACATAACAAGTTTTTTGTACTCACTGTCTCTTTCAGTTTTTCTTTGAAGCCCCCAAAAAATCAGACTGTCTTCTTTCTAACCCTCTTAAAATCTGCACTTTCACGTACCTTCTAGGATTCCATAATCTTCCAAGAGTCCGTGTGGTTTATTCACAAATTTCTTTGCTGATCCCTCATCTGCTGGATTTCTAAAAGTTGAAGTATTCCCAAGACTCAGCTCTCCGATCTTTTCATTATCTGCACACCTGTAATCTCCAGCATCATGCTTTCAAGTAGAAACCAATGCATTAAGAACAATGGTGACACAGTATGTAGAGTTTACCTGCTTACCAGGACTCTGAAAATCCTCTGGAGAGTCGGCTATGAGTTGGTTCCATGTCCACAGTAGTGAGTGAATACGTTAATACAGCCCAATTTTTCGAAATATCCAGCTCCAGAATTCCTCCTTGAGAAAGCAGATACATATATCTTGTTGCCTACTCATCATCTCCACTTGAATATCTAATAGAGATCTCAAACTTAAAATGTTCAAACTTCTGGAGTTCCCAAAACCTGCTTCATTTCCTGCTCCCCCCTCCCCAATATCAGTGAATGAAGATTCCATCCCTTCAGAAGATCAAACTAAAAACCTAAGAGTCATTCCTGAGTGTCTTCTTGTTGATTGCCTTTGAGTTGAGCACGACTTATGAAGGCCTGAAGCCCCTCTACAACTATCCACATTTATCAAAATTAATAGAGTTTCTAGAAGCATGTTGTTTAGAAAGTAGATGCCACTCCTGCTTCCAAACCTGTCAGAATGTTATTGGTTGAGTCACCTGTGATGTATAGCAACTCTATGTACAGTAGCTCTGAACCCTTCCCTGTCCTGAGCCAGTCTCACTAACTCCAACATAGCAACCCTCATTGCCCCAGTCACCTTATCAATCCATCTCATCCAGCTTCTTTCTCTCTGCGCTGTCCATCCACTCTTCCCAACATGATGTCCTTCTCCAAAGATCGTTCTCTCCTGGCCAACGTGTCCAAAGTAAGTGAGGCAGAGCTTCAAAATCCTAGCCTCCAAGGAGAGACTTGGTTTCACCCTCCCCAAGACAGAGTGATTTATTATTCATAGCAAATTATGAGCAATCACAAGCTCAACATAAAATTTGTCAAAATTTAGCCAGCTTCTCATTTTCTTCATCATTAAACCTTGATCCAAGCAAGTCACCCTCACTTCTCATCTAAATTATTTGTACTGTTGTTGTTAGGTGCCATCAAGTCAGAACCAACTCATATCTGACCCTTCAGATTTTTTTTCCCTTTAAGCCCTACAGGAGAAGATTGCCCAGCTTCCTCTTGTGGAGCAGCTGGTGAACTCAAACTGCATGTGCTTTTGGATGGGCAGCAAAACTCCTTATCACTAGGCCATAAGGGCTCCCTGAAGAGATTACTGTACTAAACCCTAAATTATTTCTTTACTTTCACTCCTGTTCCTTGTTCCCTTATAGTGCATTTTTAATACACTGGGGGAAAATAATCCTTTTAAAAACACAAACCAAATTCTGTCAGTTCGAGCCTCAAAGACATTTAAGGGTTTTAGTGTGTGTTTTGCTTTTGATGGGTGTTGCTGAGTTATTTTCTACTGACAGCGACCTCATGTGACAGAATTGAGCTGCCTGTGATCTCTATAGGACTTGATCACAAGATATTGTTCCTCTTGTGTCACCAGGTATATTTAAACCATCAAGCATAAGTATTACTGTTGTTATGTGCCATTGAGTTGACTATAACTCATAGTGAATAACATGAATAGCAGATCTGAACCTTGCCTATCCTGCCTCATTTTCAGGCTTTCTCTCCTGTTCAAGCCCTTTGTCAGAGTCACTGTGTCAACCTATCCTGCTAAAGGTCTTCCTCTCTTTCCCTGACCCTCCACCTTTCTCAGCTTGAAGTCTGTTTCGAAGGATAGGCTCCTTTTGACAACTTATCAAAAGTATTTGATACAAAGTTTCACAATCTTTGCCTGTAAAGAGCCTCTGACTGCCCTTTCCCTCCAAGACAGATTTTGTTTACTCTTTTGGTAGTCCATGAAATATTAAATATTCTTCACCAACACTACAATTTAAAGGCATCGTTTCTTCTTCTGTCTTCCTTCTTCATTGTCCAACTTTCAGATGTATAGGAAGTAATAGAAAATACCATGCCCAGCATCAGGCATACCTCCGTCTTTGTTTTTCAATTGTGATTTTAGTGAAATTTACAAAGAGATTTGTTTTCCAAAACAACTATGAGATATCATATCACCCCAGTAAGAACAGCAAAATTTAACAGAACAGCAAACAACAAATGCTGGCGAGGTTGTGGAGAAGCTGGAAACCTTATTCACTGTTGCTGGAAGTGTAAAATGGTGCAGTAACTATAGAAGGCAGTGTGGCACTTTCTTAAAAAGTTGCAAATTAAAGGGGAGCTCTGGTGGCCTAGGGGCAAGAAACTGCACTGCAATCCCAGAGGTATGAGGTTCAAGTCCACCAGATGCCCTGCTGGAGAAGGAGGGACAATCTCCTCCTGTACCAGTCAGATCCAATTTGACGGTTGTTGTTGTTTGGTGCCGTGGACTCATAGCGACCCTATGAACGAATGGCCTGAGCACTGTTCATACATAGTTTCCGGAGGCAAACCATTTCGGAAGTGGATGCCGCTCCTGCTTCCAGGCTTGTTTTAGTCGGGAAGCTCCAGCCAACACTGTCCA